TTTTTTATGAAATTTAAAAATTTCAATTCTATCAAAGTATCAGTTCGATCACTTAAATAAGTTTGAAAATGATTTTGTTTACCAGTTATCCTTATCTACTTTTTTTTACTTCTTTTTTGGTTACAAAAGCTTTTGTTATAATCTTCAAAAAATTCAGAATTTTCATAAGCATGATTGAGGCATTTTTTGCTACCATTTGTAACTTTATGATTAAATTTTAGGATTATTTGATAATGTAATAGTCTGGAACATTTAGTGTGCATTTTGGAAAGATCAGATTAAGATATTCTTGCTGTTATTCATAACTTATTGATTAAATTTAGAAGCATTTGGTAATGTAATGATCTGGAAGATTCCAATCTGTGTTTTAGAAAGATCAGATTAAGATGTTTTCGCTATCATTCGTAACTTCTAATGCTTTTGATAATAATTTACAATTATGATCTTAGGAAAAACTATGCTCTATTAACTTTTCCTGGAATTCGATAATATTTATTTGTTATTAATATTACATTGTACGTACTTATATTTTTCGATTAATAGCTACAGTGATACAGAACTTTTATAATGAGAAATGCTAATTCCTCTTATATTGATAATATCGTATTAGAATATTTATCAAACTGATGAAAATAATCGTTTATTTTTTATTTTTTTTTTTTAATCACTACTTTTCCTATGTATCTCACTTATTGTTTCATTGTTTGTATGTCACTTTAAGATGTTACTTGTAACGGATTTTCGTTTATTATCATGTAATAATTTTAAAATGATTAATTTACTATCAGGTAATGAATGTGCCAGCTGATTTGAGCGTTTATTTCCCTGATATGCCGATACAAAGGTTGAATGATGTGATGCTTAGACAACTTAATCCACGAAAATGTTGGATTATTGAAAAAACGATCAATAATATGGGAGCACTTTCTATAGCTGTATGATTTATTTTTATTGTTTTGACGGAAAGATTGATTGTTATTGTAATTATGTTAGAATTTGACAATTGTATAAACGTAATGGAGAATATGAATTTGTATATTTTTCTATAAAGGGAAGTTTAAAAATTACCCGCAGTAATAAGATAGTGTGCAAATTTGTTTTGAAAATCTTCAAAGTGGTCACAAAATCGATCGAAAAATTACGAAATATCGAATTCAGTTATTGTCAAAAAGTTAACTAATTTATCAATAGCGTTATCATTTGTATTATTAAATGCATTTCTTTCAGGCACAAGGGTTGAAACGTGTGCTCACCACCTATGATAAGATAATCAATTCAGATGATGGACAAGTGCTTTATCTGTTGTGGAGAAAGGACCCAAATATTGAGTAATTGATTTCACTACATGTTTTCCTAAAATTTGTTGCATATATTAGATGCAGAAGACCATTAATTGTTGACAATTATTCTATTGTTTAATTTGATATCATATTATCACTTATCTGATCATTTGAATTATAACTAAAGTAATAGGTTCATTAAGTGGTTTTCACAAAATTTTGATAAGATAGCAATCTATTACTGATCATTTGCTTTTATTTGCAGGAATGCGAGTATAATAATAGGTTTGTTGAAGATTGGCTATAAAAATCTCTATTTGATGGATCAGTCTATGCGATCTTTTCAAACAGCACCATTATGTGTGCTCGATTTCTACGTTCATGAAACTCTTCAACGACAAGGATACGGACATGCTCTGTTTGATTATATGCTACAAGTAGGCATTACTACTCTATAAGTATCCTGTTCTTTTTCTTTTATTTGCTCTATCCGTGATCGAATCTCCCTAAATAATTCTCTTCATTGTGCAGCTTAGACATAGATATACGTTACCGATAATTGCATCGTTTATTTTTACACTTTTTTATTTTTACAGCAGGAAAACTCGTCTGCGGAAAATGTTGCAATTGATAAGCCATCACAATCACTGTTACAATTTATGAACAAGCATTATGGTTTAAATGAACCAATTTGGCAAGTCACAAATTTCGTCGTTTATCCTCCATTTTTTGAGAACATCAAAGTGTGGGATACCACCACTTCCAGCAATCAATCATATGCAAAGTCTGCAAAAACGGAAGCTGAAAATCAGGTTTGTCAGATAATTTATCATTATTCTTTGTCAGTCAATTAAAAATCCTCGACGATTCGGGACGATATCCTCCTCTCCGCTGTTTAAAAATGGATTTGTACAATTGCGAATGATTATTATTTTCTGGAAATACGCTCTAATGTATTTTATGAGTTTTTATTAATTATAAAGAGTAGAGTTACATGAATCTTTTCCAGCACTCCCACGAAACACTTGGTACCCCTTATCATGGACGAGTTAGTTACCTAATGCAGGATAGTGCTAGAATGGGAAGAAAGGTCGTTCTCGATCCAGAAACGCCTCAAGGAAGGAAAATATGTCGTGATTTTGAACATCAATCGATATGGTGATTGTTTGCTGCTCTGAATTATCACTTACTCTCATCCTGGTAAATAAGGCCGAATATTTATTAGTAAAATTCGTTTCGTTTTCATACTGAACAAATTATTTTACTGTACATTCGGACATATCTGGAATGTAAAATTTATGCTGAATCCAAAAGTTACATGCTTTTGCAACTGGGAGAAAATAAGTATTACTGAATTTTGTAGATTATAAAATGTAAGCTTTGTAATGCTGAGATTTTTGCTGTATATTAATACTTCGGATATACTTTGAGCTGTCATTATTGAAATGTTTATTGATTCAGTCATGTACGATTTACTCTCTTCAGCGATTGATTTCACTCGTAAATTCTAATCTTTTTCACTATATACATTTTGGTCTCATTTGGTTATTTTTTGATTTCAATACTTTTACAATACATTTATACCGTTTTTTTTTCTTTTTTTTTGCAGTGTGATTGATTCTAAAAGCATTTTGAACAGATGCATAATTGAGCTTTATTTGTTCAGCAAATTGCGTAAAAGATTTGTAATATCATTTTTAATTCAATCTTAGAAAATCTTCTACGACATCAGTTTCTATTCAGAATTGCAACTTAAAACAGGTTCCATTTTGAAATACTACCTCGAGGCAACCCTTACTTATATGAGATCTTTGTCCAAGGTAGATTATTATGTCAACTCAAGCTTAGTTTTTATTCATTTCATCTTTTTTCTTTAGTCATTTGCTGTCATAATGATATCACAGTTAACACATTTGTGCTTTACAACAAAATAAAATGCCTAAATATGCAGATAATGTTGACAATCAATATAAACAAAAAAAAGGAAAGGATAGCATCATTATGGGTAACCATGCCAACGGGAATTGATCATTTAGCATTTAAACATCTTATTACCCTCTTAGTTTCCATGTAAATTTAACATATATACAATCATCTGATGATTTAAAATCCCATCGAGATTTATTCCCGCTGAAAAAAAAGGAAATGCGCTTAAAATATTTAACTACAATTGTTGAACAACAGGTATAACTTCTCTTTCTCTCATATACTCTAATTTATGATATATTTGATGAAATCAATTATTGGAAAATGTCATGTAATCCGTCGTAAACTTACGTTTTTTATGCTTTATGGTTGCATTTTCATAACTAAACTTCTTTACGTTAAATTATTCATGAAACACGTAAAACACGTATAATTTAACAAACCAATAAATTGCATTTTACATATTAAAAATAGTAAAACTTTTATAAATCAAAAAAAAAGTTTTTTTCACGATTTTTCCCTTCCAATTCTTGCTAACTTTATTGTAGTTTAATACTTTTTACATGAATTACCATAGAACGGAAAAAAAGGAAAAGTGGATTTGCAATGTAATAATGAAATTAATTGTCTATATATAAAATATTTTATTCAATTATTGAAAATATCGAAATAATTTTTTAGCCCAAGAAGTTTTACAAAAAAGAAAAGAAGAAACTAAGGTTTAATTAGAATGAATGATTGTGTATGTGTGTGTGTGTGTGTGTGTGTGTGTGTGTGTTGTTTTAGTTTAGTTAAGGGGAAAAAAAATATTTTAAATTGAATTATTTTAG